GGTAGCCAAAGGAGGCAGGGCACAAAAAAGCCCAGGCCTCCCCAGAGGGGACATGCCTGTCTTTAAGGAAATCCGGCCAAGAGCCCCAATGTAGACATCTGGGTAAGGACAGGGAGCAGGCTCCAGGCTAACAGCCTGCTGACAGCCACTAGTGAGCACTGGCTGAGACTTGGGTGGCAGTTCCTCCTCTCTGTGACCCCCTGCACAGCCCCCGAAAAATAGATCTGAGATGTGGCACCCTGCTGAGCAGAACCGACCCTGTGGCCAAGCCTCTCTCCTCAGCGCAATCACGCTGCCAAGCAGGGTCCCTCCCACTGCCTTAGCCCCACCCTGTACAATCTGTGAAACCTCCAGCAGTGAGAAAGGGAGGAGATGGCCCGAATGTCCCTGAAAGGACACAGGAAACAATAAACCCGCACCACTTGGTCAGTTTTAAACACCCTCTCCCTCGCCATATAGGCAGCTGACTGGGCTCAGTTCTGGGGTCCCACCAACTTCTCCAGCCCACCCCTCTTCAGAAGGAAATAAGTTTCAAAGCTGCAAATGGGAAAAGTCCCAATCTTATCCCAACAGCCCATGGGCAGGGAGGAAAAAGATGTGCCTCCCTGAGTATCATGTGTCCCAACGCCCCTGTGTTCCCTCCAGAGCTGGCCAGGGTAGGGACGGAAGGATACAGCTTGACGGCTCCAGAGCGGGTGCCGATGGCCAGGATGCGCAGGTAGGCACTGTAGCCAAGGGCGCTGGGCTGGTGCGGGAAGCCATGTTCCACCGTCTGCAATGACAGGCACACAGGAAGGGCCTGAAGATGTGTCCTCTCTGCAACCAAGGCTGCCTCTTCCCAGACATTCAGTGTTGGAGCCTAGCCCAGACCTGTGAAAACCCCACCCTCACTCCATTTCTGACCCTTGCCTTGGCCAAGTGGCCACCCCTGATGGCTCATCCTCCCTGACACCATGCCAGACACCTGGTGCTCCCCAGGAACTCTGTCTTGGTGTCTCCACCTTCTGTACCTTAGGGGGTGGGCCCAGCCTCCCGCAGCAGGTGGTAGCAGGGTGCACAGTGGAGACACCAGTCCCTCAGGAAACCTGACTGGCTCGCAGCACTGGGCCCATTCCAGCCTGCCCTACAGTGGCCCTGCCTGGTTCTGGGCTATCCAAGGGTCCCTTAAGCCACCAGTGGACTGTCTCACATGCCCTTGTTCTACTGAGTTCTCTATAACCATCTTCCTAGGGAAAAAATTTCTGGAGTGCTTTTGCTCATTGTTTATTATAGAAGTAATAATACATATTGTAGAAAACTTAGGATGTATAAAGGAGTTTAAGAAAGAGAACAGGCTCGGCGCCTGTGGCTCAAGCGGCTAAGGTGCCAGCCACATACACCTAAGGTGGCTAGTTCGAATCCAGCCTGGGCCCGCCAAACAACAATGATGGCTGCAACCAAAAAAAAATAGCCAGGTGTTGTGGCGGGCGCCTATGGTCCCAGCTACTTGGGAGG